GCGCCGCTGGGGCGGGGGGCTGAGCGCGGCTCCGCCGGCCCCTGCCCGCAACGCCGCGGAGCCGCATCGGGTCCGGCCGGGCAGCGGCCGCGCTGTCCGGAGCCGGCGGTGTCCGGGCTGCCGCGTCCTCCAGGGCAGAGGGGCAGGTACGGTCCCGGGCCCCTGCCGTGCCTGCGGCTCTGCCTGCCCGCTCCCGCTCTGCTGCGAGGCACCTTCTCCCCGCGGAGCTGCTTGAACGTACCGTGAGCTGCCTCAGTGCCCGTGTCAGGTGATAGAGCGTCTTGAGTGCTTCCCTTTAGAGGTCCTGCATTTCAGCGTCTTCATGTTCGTCTCTGAGCTCGTCTCGTCTATCTTGTGTTTTTCATGCGTTTATGTTTTCTATTGCTTTACCCTTTTGGTTTTTTTCTCCTTTTTTTCCATCCTGAAACAGTGGCAACCTGACTACAGCTTATCCTTGGTTTTCCGTTTGGGAATCGAAATATTAGGGAACTTCTCATCACTCAAAGTTTATACTGTCACATTCATTTTCTAGGTGTTTTATTTGCTGTCTTTTCTGTGAGAAACAAAGGCGCTGAGGAAAATGTATCCCACAGTACTAGAAGTGTGCAGGTGTTTGTTACTTTGACTTCTGTTTCTCATACCCTAGCCTCTGAGTACGTGTTACTCAGATCTGTCAGAGTCACTGAAACTTTGAGTCCATAGTGTTAAGCTCTGTGCCTGGTATTTTGCCTTTTACTACTTTTACATGTTACTGGTCACTTGAAAAGCAATGCTGCCGAGTCTTGCATTTTGTTCCAAATTTGCCAGTGTCTTATCCATCTGTCATGCAATTAAATGGAAAAAGTAATTAATTGGAAAACCTGACTTGTTGAAAGTACTTTAATTAATGTTCTGAAATTCTTTGTGATGAAATGTTCCTACAGAAAATACAGCTTGTCTTACAGTTCGGAGACACGAGTTCTCTAATAGGAATGAGACTAGGGACGGTGTGTCATCAGTAATTTGTCTGCTTATATCTTCCTGTTGATGATGTTAAACAGATGGTGGTATCTGTTTTATCAGGGAGAAGTGCATCACTTGAAATAACCTGTTAATCCTAGTAAGTGAATCCTAATATCTTCAGCTGCACTTGGAGTGGTCAGTAAGCAGCAGAAGGATGTATTTCTGTTACATACATTAGTGCTTGGCATCTGACTTTGTTTCCCTGAGGTTAAGAGGCTAAAAGTGTTTCGTGCATAAATCTCTGGGTTATAAATAGCTGTATGCATTTGGCTATTTTTGTAGCTCTGAAGTTTTGGTGATCTTCTTTGGTTTGCCTCTTCGCTTGTGACTCCCTGGAAAGGATAATCCTTTTCTCAGGAGTCTTACTTCTGTTCCAGTAAGGTGTTTATGAATGCATGTATGCACACCACCTTGATGGACTCCATTGTACAGCATTTCCAAGCAACTTTCATTTCTGAAGGTGAACGTTGAGAGCAGTGCTTGGAACTAGTGTATTTAAGATCCTAATCCATGTTTGAAGTGGAATGTTTGTGCAGTTAAACGTTCTGTTGCTATGTTTTACTGCCAATGTATGTTTTTATTCTGGATATAAATATTGCAAAGGATAAAACATGAGCCTGAGTCACCAGAAAAAGAATTCGGAAACCTAGTTGGTTTAATTTAATGTTTGCACTACAATTTTTCCCCCTTGCGTTGTGTGGAATGTGACATACAAATAAGTTGTCAGTAATTGTTGGGAACTCCATGGAGAATTTCAAGTATTCTAGTAGTACTGGATTTATCCCAAAGCAGAGTTCGCTCAGCTTGTCTCAAAAAGTGGATCCCAGATGTATCCATAGCTTCCAGGCATTGGTGTGAATTGTGGGAGCAATCAAAGTCCTGTAGGTCTCAAAGAGGAAGCAGTATTGGTGTGTTTTGGAGGGGGGACAGAGGTGTGCTAAAGAATTCCAGTCAGCCTCCCTTGAGGCAGTTGACCAGGCAGTGAGGGGTGGAACACTGTTGGAGTTGAACAATGCTGTTCCTGTCACAGCTGGCAGGGGTCACTGGAAAGCAGTGGACTTTATTTCTTTCCTAATTGTCCAAAGTTACATATACTGTCTTCCTTGGCTTTTTCTGTCTATCTGTCTTTACTTATTTCTAGTACAAATACTGTTGAAGAATTTTTTTGTCTTTTCTCACGACCCTGTGAGTGAGAATGATACCGGTCAAAGATTGGGGTTTGGGTTTTCCTTTGTCTATGAGGAAGTTCTTTTCATAATAAACAGTGTTGTTTATGCATTCATCATCGGACAGTTTATGTGGATTTTTAGCAAGACTTATTAAGGGCACAAAGCTCCTACAATTGCTTCCTTTGTCTGTCTTCTCCCATTTGAGTCACTTCTTACTCAGATGATGAAACCAAAGTTAATGGCAACTGAAAGACATTGACTACCTACACTGTGACAAATTTTTATAAAATTTTTGATAGGTAGTGTCGTAAATTAATATTCCTACCCAAAAAAGGCAGTCATAATTGAGTCCCTCCCTTCTCCAAGAAGTGAGCAAGTGCTGGGCAGTCTGTGTGCTCAGCTCTGAGCCATCAGCACCAGCCTACTTTGACTGGCCCAGCCAAGCGCTTGGGATGGTTGTTATGATGGGTGGGAGGCAGGAAAAATAGTATGGGTGGGGACAGTGGTAAAAGCAGGCAGACTTAATTGCTTCTGCCCACAGAGCAAGGTAGGCCTGTTTTTTCTCTTAATGTTTTTTTGTTTTATGAAGGAAACAAAACAAAATTCTTGGGGTACATGTCAGAGTACCATCTGCAACAGCTGCATCTTCCTGTTTGAGGACAATTGACCACCACTTACTCAAAGATATGTGGTGGTGTGAAAGTAACAGACTTTAAAAGCTTTTAATATCATATTTTCTCCCTTGAGTTTACTGTTCTGTTATTTATAAAGGTCCTTCTTGATGGGTGCAGAGGAGGAAATGGTTAACTCTTTGAAGAAATTATATTTGAATTTTTAAGAAGAACCCAAAGAGCTTAATAAATTGCCACAGGAGAAAAAAGAGTTAATACTGATTAGAGCGATAATGTATTGCTGTGTAATGTTTGGGCATGCTTTACTTGTAATCATTGAATAATTTAGCAAAGGGTCATTGGAAGTCATCAGTCTGGTCCAGCCCCATCTCAGAGCAGCTTCAAAGTTAGAGCAAACACGTATACATATAGAGAGATAGACATTATATTGTCAGGAAATTTAGAAATACAGCTTGTGTTTGTGGTGGGCTTTTTTGTTTGGGATTTTTTAGTTGCAGGGGAGGATATCAGAGAATTCCTTGAACTATTCTCTTATTTCTTAATTTATGCATGTGAATGGGATTTTTTCCAAATTTGTTTCTGCTGGGAATACATGTAATGTTCAGTATTTAATTCTTTGCTCATTTGAGGTGATCTTGGTAGATGTTCTTCAAAGAGCCTAGATGGCTTTCTGGACTGAGTCCAAGCACTGGACTCCTATTTGCAAATAATTTGTGGTTCTGTTCTTAAAAAATAAAATACAACTGCAGAGTGGGAGAAGAAATTAAAGCAATATCACATCAGAAGTGAAATCGTGCGAGCCTTGCATTTTGGAAGTTGGCCAGCGCCAGATGCTTTTGGGGTTTAGGTGGTTGGCAGATGCTGGCTTGGCAGCTGAGCACTCTTCGTGCTGCTGTGTCCAAGGGACAGTTTGTTCTGCGTGTGGCTCATGCTCTCCTTGGTATTGGCTTCTGGCCGTCGTGCGCTCGGGTTCAGGGGAGTGTTGGGATGGCCCAACACAACCCAGTGATCTCTTTGGATGCTTTCTTGCATCCTGGGTTATGAAGCTTGAGATTCCCCCAGCTGTGTGTTTATTTTTTTTCCCCTTATTATTATTATTGTTATTGTGTGTTTAAATAGCTGCTTTCTTTTGGAATGGGAGTAAAATCTTGGCTTCAGTGACTTCCTGTGGCAGTGAGTCTAACAGTCTACTTATGTGTTGTAATATAATATTTCTCTGTTAAAATTTTGGCTTTGCTATCCTCTCAGCTTAGTTAATAAATGAAGTTGCCTGCATTACTGGGAAGCTGTTGTTTTCTTGACTTTATTTTCTGTTTTTCTCTTGAAGTCTCAATTTATTATAATGCCTTATTTTTCTGTTCACGGTTGCGTGTTTCAAAGGAGAGTCTTTCAAGTTGTTGGTAATTCATAGCCCTTGTCAGAACCCCTCCCCCAATATTTTAATATTCTTCTCCCAATAAAGTAGGTGTATTTCAAATCAGATTGCACAGAGCTGTACTGTGGTGTTTTCCTTGTTGTCCCCCTTTTATTCAGGTCTCCCTGCTCTTCTGACTGTATTCTGTTGGATGGCAGAGGTTCCTGAGCTGCTGAAATTCCTTTCTGGATTTGAGATATTTAGTGGTGTTCATAGTTTGCTCCCCCTGCCTTCCCTTACAGACGACATTTACGTGGTTGATACTGAATTCCATTTATTTTGCCTTTTCATTGTTAAAGTTTATGCATATTTTTAAACTTTGCTAGTTTAAGATTGCCATCTAGAAATGTTACTGCTTCAGGTTTTCTTTTCTTCTTTGCAGTATAAAAGATAAATATAGTGAGCACTGCTGGACCTTTTAACAGAAGCTTAAAATTTGGAATAATAGGACAAGGTTCAGTTCACTCTATATCAGAACTTACTTTAGGCGGTACTTCATAAAAACTCTAGTCTGCCGGTCCAAATAGGAGGAGGAGAGGGGAAATAGCCCTAATTAGTCGAGATTACTGTGTTAATGGTGCTTGAGAAGGCTTACTGGGAAAGATGCAGAGTATTCAAGCTGGCTGTGGTCAGAGCTGCCTCGGTGCCATTCATGGTGCCATTCGTGCTCACCGTTTGTTCTGCGGAGGTGAATCGTGTGGGAGCTGCTCGTGGGCTCAGCAGGGGCAGCCAGAGCCTGGGAGCTGCGTCCTGTGCGATGGGCTCTGGGCTGGAAGCTGGTTTTAACCACTCTAAAGCAGTATCAGCACAGGGTCCTGTGGTTGAGAGTGGTTCAAACCCTTGCGGAGCCTTACAGGGCCATCGGTTGTGTGGACGTGTCTTTATGAGGACACTGCGTGTGCTTGAAGTTCCCTCTTCAGAGCTCTGGGAGCCAGCAGGAATGTGGGGCATCTCTACCCTTACCTGTCAGGGCCTGGTAAGCAATGACATGTTGTCTGTGTTCATCTCTCCAGTAAAAGTTTGGTGGTTGGAAAACTTACCTGGAATTTGC